GAACAAAACGCGCTCGGTGGGCATTGCTAATGTACATGGTAACCGGGCACCTAGACTCAGTGTCTACGTACACACAGTAACCGGGTACCTAGCCTCAGTGTCTACGTACAAGGTGACCGGGTACGTAGTCTCAGTGTCATGTACACGGTAACCGGGCATGTAGCCTCAATATCTACATACACACGGTAACCGGCAACCGGGCATGTAGTCTCAGTGTAACCAGAGACTCTCTACTCTCCGGTGTCACATACGGTAACCGGGCAGTTCAGAACTCTTAAGTTCAGATTTTGTCATCCGGTGTTGCCTTCATCCCCACCCCTCCCCGACTGTACCTTTAAAAAAAACCCAATGATCTCCCCCCCCCCATTCCGAAGCCCTACTTCGCAGCACACAGACTTTGAACGAACTTTGGTGACCCCAACCAGTACTCACAATATAATGTGATGCACACGCACAGGTTCACTGATCCGTCTCAATGGCGAGCCCGACAAGACCCTTAATATGACTTTCTACTTCTTTTTTTTCAGCAAGTGACAGCACAGAGGACAAATATTTAGATCTAGATCTATATTGATTTATTTTCATTTCGGTTTCCATGTACGTAGATACTGAGACTAGGTGCCCGGTTACCGAGTACGTAGACTACAGTAGATACTATGACTAGGTGAGACTAGGTGCCTGGTTACCGTGTTCGTAGACACTGAGACTAGGTGCCCGGTTACCGAACTTACTATGGTGTACGTAGACACTCTCTGTAAAGATTTTATTTAGAATATAGATCTAGATCTAATTTCTAGATCTATATATATCTAGATCTAGATATATCTAGATCTAGATCTAGATCTATGTATATATAGATCTATGAGTCTATGGCCACTTAATTTTGTCCACAGCAATCACTTCTGTTTCTTATGAAAACAAACAGGAAGGCAATTTCCAAAGAGCCCCACCCTTACTGCATGTTTACTTATGGTTTATTAGCAGGCTATTAGTATTAGATTAAATCTGAATGATTCTGAATGAATCCGCTGAAACAGACTGAAGTTCCAGTGAAAAAGTCAACAAAGTGCCACAGATCTGGGAGATTAGATCTACCATGTAATTCCCTTATCGTCATTACACAAAAGGAAAGCCAACTCATTAAAATTGGCCACAGTTCGTAGAATACATACACGCAATAAATCCCTGGAGAATAGAACTGAGCTTGCACTTGATCTGCAATATCGAAGCGACCGGCACAATGAGTACCTCGTCCAAGGAGACAAGGACGCCATTTATTTCTCTGTTAGAGGGACCGATTTGTTTAAATAGTTTTAAGAAACTATACTTTCTAAATTTTCAAAATTATCTATATCCAAATACTTATAACAAACACTACGATAAAAATAAATCTTGTTAATAGTCAGATTATATCAGAACAATTTTATATCCCCATAAATCACTCAAAGGAATATGTTGTATTTTAACATAACACTCCCTTACTGTATATATACAGGATGGTACAAAGTACAAAGGAAGGATAAGTCAGAGTATCCGCACGACAGACCGGCTTCCCCTCTACCGCCAGTGTCTGTTCACATAATAAACTACAATACAGCTGTAAAACTTCGGTTTTCTAAACGTAATTAATTTTTCAAAAGTTTTACGGCTGTACCTCAGTAGCTTATTTATATGTGTTTAATTTGGGTTGATGAAAATGTGCCAAAACGATAGCCTTTGACCCTTCATGAAGGACTAGTCTTGCCGCCCACAGGTACAAGTTGGTACAACCATTATGTAGGAATTAGGCAGTACGTGGTCTACAGGTGCAGTGTTCGCCTCTAATTCATCCGGGTTCGAATCCCGACAGCGACGGTTTTCTATTTCACTTCTTTCCTGTTCTCTAATCAATCACGCTCTGTCACCTGCTTCCCCCC